ATAATAAAGTATAAATATAAAATATTTCACATCTCATTTTCCAATCTTAGATTAAATTTGATAATTATTTTATAAGTAAATTTATTTTAATTTGTTTCAAAGAATAACACATCTCTTTTTTATAAATACTTTATCTATATATTTCACGTTTACGTTTCAGTTATTCTAAACGGATCGTGAATCAAAGATACACGACAAAAACTGATTCTCAAGCAGATTTTAATGTGATCTTGTTCGAACAAGAATGAAAGTCGATCGAAGATGGGAGCAACAACTTTTGTGAATCTCATAAAACTGCATTCTAACTGCATTTCTGCGAAGAGCGTTTTAAAAACAGCTCTTGCTAACAATGTATTAGCGTTGCGTTCTCAATAGACACAAATCGCTTTTAACAAATTTTAAAGGCATTGAGTTCATTATCGGTAAGAATTAAGCTGCTAGAAAAAGTACTTGACCATTTCTAAGGGAAAAGATACGTCACGAAAACAGCAAATAACAGCAATTAGGATTTTCTAGAATTGCACTTCCGGGAGATTAATTACATGCTATCTATCAATCAAGAAACCTTATACGTACCGTAATCTTCAACTTCTTTCCGCTGCGTCCTCAACCTTGATGCTATGCACACACGCAAGCAGGTGCAACAATGCGCAGGAGCAGCGAAAACAAATTTCCCTCACACTACAATTCGATTTGATTTCTATTAAATATAAAGTACGCTTGATTATTATCGTACAATGCAGTTCCGGGATTATTTCTACACAAGAACACGTAGTACTTGAAACTTGACTTTCGGCACGCGGCCGAAAATCACATGCACTTTGTTCCGCTCGCGGAATCGACTAACGCACAACACATCAAGCTAATTTACCGAAAGTCTCACAAGAGAAAGCGAGATTCTCTAAAATAATCTATCCTCGATATAAAAAAGATTTCACTTCCAACTTCGATTATTTTCGATATTTTCCGTTGAATATTCCTTTTTTTTGAGCGTAACGAGTGATGTACTGAGAATTGATTGCGGGGAAATGATGTACAGCGATGTGTCAGAGCGAGATCGCGAAAAAATGTAAAGAAATCCACAAACGTATGAAATAAAATTCATAAAAGATAGCGCACGAATGTTATGACGACACGACACGCGCGAATTGTAAAGAGATGTCGACGCGTCGATGTTCGATCGTGGACTAACGCACTAGAACGTCAATCGCCTTTTAAGTGCGTTATAATCGCCAGCGACGTGCTCGTCGGCAATTATCACGTGATGGCGAATATTTCTTACTTCGACGATCGAAGTTGCGCGGCGACCAATCTCTGACGTAATAGATCCGTCGCAGGAACGCGTCGTTAACGTTGTTATATTATGTACCCGCGTTAGTCTTAATGAGAAAAAGTAGATTAGCTGTGCTCGAGGTTTCATTGGCAATCGCTACTACAATTAACGCCACGTGTTTTAGCCACACCGAGAGAGCGAGTGGGGAGAATTGATTCTTTTGTATCCGATTTTCGATTTTTTAAATTGATTTTATAATTTCGATTAATCCAGTGAATTGATTCTCGAACAATTCTCGAAACGATCGATCCTATAAAAATATAAAATATAAGTATAATCACTAGACGCATTGATTATTTTTTCGTTTATGTGTATAGCATTTATACAAATTTATTTTCCCAAATAAGAAGGGAGGGTGTGCGTCACGACGGGACCCGACCACGAATCAGTCGTGAAAACTCGTAATTATTTTGCGAAAAAATATCACCTCAGCCAGGAATCGAACCTGGATCTCCTGCTTACACCAGGCAGGCATCTTATCCCTTCGACTACCGAGGCATGTGATGATATTTATCGCAAATAACGTGTTTAGAATAATACATCAACAATACAATGATACACATATATATATATACGTATATTACAATATACATATACACATGTATTCTCTCAAATCTCCACGACCGGTACTCCAGAGAGATGATGGTCCTGTTTTACTGAATAGGCTTTAAGCGATACATTATCTTCGATACTGTTTTAAAAGTATTCTCGTTTACGATACATTTCATATAAAACTTTCGTTTACGTTTAAGTTAAGAAAATCGCAATAATAATGTATATAAAATATGCAATATTATATGCAAAATATATATATATATATATATATATATATATATGTATATATGTATATTTTTATATAAAATATGGGAACGATCAAATAATTTGGGGGTATATTTTAAGAAAAGAAATGTTACAAAAGAAGTTGTAGGATTTTAAAAGGTTTATTTACTGATCTTATCAATTTGACCTTGAATGTTGCCAAGATCATAGAAAAAGCAATTCTGTATTTTTTAACCTGAGAACCTGGAAACCCTCATTTTTTATTATACCATATATTCTTATAGCTTACCTCGAGAGCTTTTCAAGACAGTATGATAAAGTATATTTTTAATAAGTACTTTATAAGTTATGAGGCTTGAATTTGATATCAAGTAAAATATAAAATGTCTCGTAAACTATTCATTTTTTAGCAAATATATCTTAATATTTTTATGCACAGAATAATGAGATTAATCGATTGGTGTAAAGAAAATATAAAGTTGTCGCTTAAAAAAATGAGATTCTCAATATAAAATGTTTTTTTGAAAAACAATTATATATTTTCTTTACACCAATTGATTCATCTCATTATTCTGTGCATAAAAGTATTAAAACATAGTTGCCGAAAAATAAATAGTTTACGAGATATTTTATACTTTATGTCAAATTGCATATCAAATTTAAGCCTATAATTCAGAAAATATTTGCAAAAAAAATACTTTATCATACTGTTTTTGAAAGTTCTCGAAGCAAGCTGCAAGAATATGTAATCAAAAGTGGAGGTTTCCATTTAAAGAAACAAAATTGATTTCTATTATATATGAACTTGGCAACGTCGCCCAAGATCAAACTGATAAAATCAGTAAATCGACATTTTGAAATCCTATAATTTCAACTGTAACATTTTTTTCTAAAAATTCCTTAATGAGTTATTTAACCGTTCCCATACTTTTGAAGGACCCTATATATTTATTAAAAATAAACAGTAAATATATTAAGTTATGTTTAGTTATTGATGTTTTGTATTTACAAAACGTGTTTTGTATTTTACAAAAATTTCCAGTTATTATAAAAAAATTGTGTAATTATCTCAAATAATACTTAATATTTTGTAAAATGAGATAAAAAATCGATTTTTAATAAATCGATTCTTTGACAATAAATTTTTTGATAGATCGATTTTTAAATATTCGACCTAAACTGTTCCAAAAAATCGATTCTTTTGAAAAAATCGCTCATTCCTAATACATCATTCGATTCTTTGATGCTTGATTTTCGTATTCCGCGATCAAATTATTACAGAAACGTCAATCAAGCACGACATTGACACGAGATACTGGTTCTTTCACGCACAACGCGGGAATGATAAGCGAACGATAAAATGTTAAGAATTGCTATAAATATCATTTCGATTTTTATTCTTACTTAACCCTAATCTTTCTTTTTACTCAAAATATCAGTCATGAAATTCTCGGCATCGTCATGGGATATTATCATTTATTATCATTTATGTTACATGATAGTAATGTAATAACGAAGATCAAAACATTGGACACGGCTGTTTTGAACTTCGTCGCTATACGTGACTTGATTATGGGAAGGTCGAGCAGCCGAATCAGGTGTACATATTGTTACACAACGTTCACACGTTCATTTTTAAGAAAATGCACGCAACCGTAGAGGAATCTGCTCGCATAGCATGTCACGCGACACGTGTCCGCGGCGTGAATGCCCCGCACACGCACGTGTCTGATATGCAGGTATTGCTTACGGATTTATCGTAAAACTGTCGACTATAAAAACATCGATTATGACACGCTAAATCCGATCTGACACGAGCGACTCGCGTGCGTTTTCTGGCATTTCTTTGAACAGAAGATATAAAAAAATCGCGCGCATTTAGAGAAAAATTATACAATAAAATTTTAAGATAAATTTCAAGATAAATTTCAAGATAAATTTTAAAGAAATAATAACAGTTAAAATTTCTTTTTAGCGTCTGTTATTTCTATAAAACATTACACTATTTGGAAATCATTGATGATAAAAATTCACAACAATCGATATTTAATATCTAAGATAATAAGATGATTAATTTTCTTACGTTTCTTGTATTTCCCACAATTGAATTCAATCGCTCTTTTAGCTGCAATTTTTCCGATTATTCATTCGGAGAGATATTCCTATTTTGAATGAATCTTTCGATGATTCAAGTAACCTGCGGGCGGATAGAAACTCGGCAAAAGGAAGATGACTTTGAGAAACGCGTAAAATACCGTGGGTGTGTTCCAGACTGTCGTTTGGAATCGCCATTGGAAAATTTTCCTCTTACAAATGTCCTATAATTAAACGGTCAGGTCATTGGAAAATTACTTCGTCTCTTATTCGAGTTCGTCGACAAGGCATCAATATTCTACATGATGATTATACGCATATATATATGCATAAAGTTCAGCCGAGCGTGATTAATTTTATCAATTACACTTGAATCGGCAGACGGTAGGATAATGAACCATTACATCAGTCCTGTCCTTTTTACAAACAATTTGTCGAATATTTATTTAATTAAACAATGTACGCTTATGATGAAACATTAATAATACAAATAAGTATATGTGCGTGTGCGTGTGCGTATGTGTGTGTGAAGACCAAGTTCAATAAAAAAAAAGATAATATAAACATTGTTCAGTCAGATAAAATTTTTAATATCTATTAACTTTTTTACTTTTAAACTCCGCATTTTATATGAAAAAAATTGGCTTTGGTCAAATTGGCTGAAATTAAAATATGTTTTAATTTATATGGTGCTGATTAAAAATTTCCTATGAAAAAGTCCAAAAATCAATAGTATAAAAAAATGTGATCATTTGAAGAGTGTTATTGGAATTTAATCCATTAAAGCCTATGCTTAGATTAGCAAGATTAGCCAAAAAATAGCTATTGAAAATAGAACTGGAGCAAACATTTCTGATATTTGCAAAAGCACATCAATTATAATTGTTACAATCAAATTATTAAAAATTGACCGTAGGGAAAAACTAATTAAGTCGATTGTATGGGAAAAGTTACTAAAGAGATATATATCTTTTTTTTAAATTATTCTTTGTTTATGCAAAAAAATAATAAACGGTATTTATTATTTATTTATTAAAATTCGTTTCTGCCCAGACGATCAAGGATAGCTAAAAATAACTATTTATTGAAAATAAAACTGTCGCATACGAGCGAAGTCGTGCACGACTTAAGAAAGAGAAAATTACAAGATAACGCTCACGATTCGATCGCACACACGACGCACACTCACATACAAAGGTAGTCTGAAAAGTTTTGAGCCTTAACATGAAGATGACGTTACTCGTTAAAACCATTCTAGTACTATAATAGTATATGCTTTGAAAGACTTTTGTGAAAATTTCAACCATTTTGGACGCTCAGTTGTTGTTTGACAGTCGTTTGTGTCAGTCGATGTCAGTGTTTTTGTAAAAATGGAAAAAATTGAATATCGTGTCGTGATTAAATTCTTACATTTAAGGCAATACGCCTGCGCAAATTAAAATCGAGTTAGACGTTGTTTACGGGGACTCTGTCCCATCATTTGCCATCGTAAAAAGATAGGCAGCTGAATTTAAACGTGATCGTACCAGCTTGGCTGATGATGAGCGTTCGGGATGACCAAAAACTACGACCACCGCTGATAACATCGAAAATTCACCAAATGGTACTGGATGACCGTCGAATCAAGGTTAGAGAGATAGCAGAGGCTATGGGCATATCGAAAGAACGCGTTTATCATATATTGACTGAAAAAATTGGATATGCGCAAGTTATCCGCGCGTTGGGTGCCGCGTTTGCTCACTTTAGACCAAAAAC